AAAAGGGGAACAGAAAATAGTGCTTGGTTTCGCCTATAAAGGCCTTCATACAGGCTTGCAATCTAAAATTAAGGGCAGGGCCTCTATTGAAGCTGAATAAAATGGATAGGCAGGGATTGGTTTCGAGTTGGAGCTGGAGGTATCCCTCAGTTTCCACAGTTCCATCACGGTTGCAAACATCCCGGCAATAGGCCACGTAAAAGGTGAAATTATCGTTGAAACCCACAATATGTAGTCAGATGTGAATTATATGTTAGCTTCCCTAAACTCACTCATTTATAGTAACAACTAGTTATCGGGTAGAAAAAGAGGCGCTGCTAGCGGTTAATTACATCTGAAACGGCAAAACAGAAATCCCACTTCTCACACAACAAGTATTCTCATCAGTGGAATTCTGCAATACGCTTCCCAAGTAACTAAGAAAGAAGGAAGAAGTTGGCGAGGCGACCCACACTTGAGTGAAGAGGGAAAGGGAGGAAGGTAGGTCTTCAAGAAAGGTAGGTATGGATTGAGAACTTACCAGCCATTACAGCTTGCTACACCGTAATGATAACCAGTTGCGAGATCGGAACAAACAGCGCACAGTTCACCTTCTGGAACTTTTCGCCCTGAAAACATACATAAGACGTTTGGAAAATGTTATGTATGTACGATTGATTACACTTACGTTGTGCCATTCGTTTATAGGAAGGTGATGGTGCAAAGGGCTTTAGATCGACACCATTTTGGAGACTTGTGTAGGAGAGCTGATTTTGTAGTTGCTCGGCAAGGTTGCCATTTAAGGCAGCCATGCTGTAATACAACATTCCCATGACTCCTTCAGACGTTGATTACCATGTCTATCGACAATTAAGAACGTAGAGAATATGACGGCGATAGAAAGTGTGATGAATGAAGTCGTAATGATGAGGGGTGCCTGCTGCTGCTGATGCTGACGTTTCGGCAGATGATTAGCAGAATACGTTTGGAACAGGTGGTGAGGAGCACCAGAAAGAGTAACTGAACCAATAAGTATTCTGTACTGGTACTAGTAGAAGTTGTGGCGAGAAGTAACGGCTGGCGCGAGCACGAACGCACACGCCGCCTAGGTATGGAAGGCGGCAAGAGGCGGAGCTGCTGAAGCCTTCGTTGCCAGCATACACACGTACCACAGACGCACACACACATACACACATACACACAGAGGGACAACATCGACGGGACTGCTCTGTGTTGGCTATAGAAGAGACCAAATTGGCTTTGCAAAGCAAAAACACCACAACAAACGCGTCAATGGCTACAACTCAGTGTGCCGTCCACAAGAGCCTTCGGGCTGTGGCGCTTTAGTCGACGGGTTCGAAGGTGTCCGATGCAGGAGTGCCGAGCTTGTCATTTTTGTTTGCTCTACGGCAAAATAATTGGCTCCGTTGAAATAAAAAGAAGGAAGAAAGAAAAGGAATGTAGAATGAAACTCGGATAAAAGACATTCTTGAAGGTCAGGGAAGATTTACTCAAAAAGCTAAGCGAAGAAATGGCTGTGAACTAAAACATGGCATTTCGAAAGTTAAAGTGCACCGAAGCACTACTCTTACTGGAACTGCGTATCCCAACTATGATCCAGGGATGGTTTTTCGTGGGCAAAATTCTTCGAAGAACATGCGGCGATCTAATTATGTAGATATATATGGCATATCCGTGGAGAATGAGGGTCTCTTCTAGCTGATGTTAGTCCAACGAAGGCCCTGAACTCCACTGAACCCAACTCTTCTCCTCATAGCCCTATATCCCTTAGAAATTGGTCCCATGAATCAAGAAACACCTACCAATCAACGAATACCTGTCTTTACAATTGTATCCTCAAGGAAGTGTAACTTACTACCACCACTAGATTCACTAAATAAGCACCAGCGCTTCTCCGGGCACGGTAGCGAGAATCCTTAGAACGAAATACGTTTACCTATTTTCTATGTTACATGATGGGAAATCGATCAGTAATGGGTTACCAGTAGTGTGGTTGTCTTGGCGTTCGCAGTAGGCCCACATCTTTCTACTTGAACCCCGTGTTTCGTGGCTGGTCCCGCAGTTCCTGTGCCAAAGGTGCACTATGTTCAGCCTCGTGCCAGCTGTCCAGACATTTTCTATCGATGCCCGATCATTTTCAATCAGAAATCGATTTCAGGGCAAATGAATCCTTCCACGACAACAGTTCTTTACTTGAACAGTTCCCATACAGCTCTGGCCATAACCACCAATATCGCTAAAGACCACCTAAGATTAACAGGAAAGAAAGAACACACAGCTCATGTTTCATGAAGAGGGCAATACGTGATGAGCGATGAAAACATGAGAGAACGTCGGGAGTAAAAGCGAACCAGAAAGTTAGATATGATAACACGATCTTTACGTATCGATCGATGGTGAAAAGAGGCATTTGGGAACGTCGTCCGTCCTCCTCGTGTAGCCATATTTGGTCACGTATGTAAAAGTGAAACTCTCCAGATGGATGGGTTTTTTCGTAGTGTTCAGGAGACCAAGTCAGCAAAGAAGACCGTGGAACCGGACTTATACGTTCAGGTAAACCAGTAACGAATGATTCCCCCGTAAACTCTTGACTCTTCAACTCTCTACATCAAAGAAGACATTGAAATGAAGTTATGAACCACAAACAGGATATTTTGAAGTACATATAAGTTCATGGCAGTTGCCGCTACTTTCAGGAGTCAGAAATGTTTTGGGCTATAGAAAGGAACAAATTCATCAAGACGAGTGAAAAAAACGCCTGGGAACCTTCAAGCACAAATCGAGTCATTAATAGTAAGTCGAGAAACCCCTGGTAATGAATTGTCTGTGTAAACGATATCAGCAACAGCCGTACTTTAGTACATTTGACGCTGGCAACATTCAGTGGTTGAGAACCAGTTAATCACCCACGGAACAGCGACCTCTTCATTCGATGGTCGAACAAATATGTTCGAGGATCGTCACAGTGATTTGAAAAGGGATCAATGAGTGATCACTCGTTGAAAAAAGTGAACGGCAATACCCGGTAGGATTCAGTGCAGAGTTAGAAACTGTATATGTTGAGGAGGGGGTCGGATCCTATCTGAAGTTGGTCCCAAAATACAGCCCCTTCTTCTATGACTCATTGAGAGCATTATGTGCAGGAAAAGTATACCAGGGGAGACTAAAAATCATCAATATTTATCCGCTATTAAGGGTTTCGTCAAAGTTACCCGAAGAGAAACTTTTTCCATCCACGGACATCAGATGGTTTTTTCTCTGAGGATCGCTTCACCAAGAGATGGACTTTGTCTTTTTAAGAGGCCATTACAAGTAACTTCTGTTTGAGCACAACGCAGTAGCAATCTAGTAAAAACTAGTAATAAAGGAACTATTATAAACACTCTACAGCTACAAGTTGTGTGGGATTTCCTGGAAGTAAAGTAGCCCCAAAATATCCTGTCCATGTGGCTATCGATGCCGTTATTTGTCGTTGCGATTTTAGGGAACTTCGTATCTTTTGAATGTACTGATAAGCTCTCTGCAAGTGGAAAGTGCAGATGTACCATCTGGACTGTGAATTCATTGCCATTTTTCAGCTTTGAAACTCTGTCCAGAGGAAAGATCGAAGAAAAGACATGAATAAATGAAACGGCGCATCTCGGGGAAAGAAAGGGAATCGTGTGAAATGTTGGCAGCAGGAAACGGCTCCATAATGAATACGATGCTAGGCAGTAAAGATCGCATTGGGGATTCATCTATAATTGAGAACATCCCTATGCCATAGATCGTAGGACCACCCTTTGCGCCTAATTCAGAGATCACATATGCGCGCATCAAACCACCCCCATAGATAAGAGCAGATGAACAAGTAACCCTACTTTATAAAAAATTAGAATCACTCTCCCGTAGAACAAAGGAATTTCTATTATAAACAATAAATTTATGCTCTACCCGACCAAAAGTGGCGATGTTGCGTAATGCATTAACGCCCGAAGTGGTTTCGATCTTTGAGGTTTTCTGAAACTTCTCACAACATGTGCTACACTCCTACTCAAAAAAGTGGTTCGTCTAAAAGAAACATAAATAATACATTTGATTGGGTAGTTCAAACTACAGCTGCTAATCACAGTTACTAGTAAGTTTGACGTATTTGTTTCAGTGTCACTTGCAGATGTTCTTAGTTCTAAGTGGTTATGCCATCTCAAGAAGAAACTAATGAACACAAGAAGCAGCTAACATGAAGATAACTGTCGTAATATTACTCGGGTAACATTCGGAAAATAAATGGGATCCAAATATCAAAAGTACCCCGTAGTTACAGTAATCATAGCAACGATTGTCGTGCACATAAGAAAACAAATGATGTACAAGACGCTGTACTAAGGCGTTGTAGCCGACTGTCTGGTCAGTAGAAATGAAGTCAGAAAAGCAAACTATGAAAAAAAATTCAAAAAACTGAAGTGGTAACTAGTTTACTCGTGTTACCGCGTGAAAATGACCACATTGTGGCCTTGAGCGTTACGGAAAGAAAAACAAACGTTCAACGATGAAAACAATAGCGACGAGCTGATGAAAATACGATGATAAGAGATAAAAAACAATAAAGAAATGGTTCAAAGCTCTGTAGGGGATTGAAGTTGCCCTGGGATGTGCCGTGCATTCTAAGTCCATAAGCAATTGTTAGGGCTTTTGGGGAAGCCTTGGTCAATATAATTGGTTTCGAAGGCATCCTATGCGCAAGTCAGTGTAGTCAGTCCTCCTATTCCTTCTGAAAGATGTAGCACTGCGTAATTGACTCTTTAGGAGCCCAACAATTTGTTAGTCTGGAAGGGATTCGATCCGAAACATTTTCTAGGATCATGTTCACGGTAACGGCGTTATCAGTCAGTAATCCACATCGCTATGACCTCATGTTCCAAGGGAGAAGAAGAAGGTCCTGAGAGGAACAGGCGAAAAGGATGAGTAGGTCTTACTGCTCTTCTTTCATGGCAAAATAGGTGAAGTCAACAATTGTAACGATGCCAAAAACGCGATCGAAGAACCGAAATAGGTTCACCTCGGCTCGATCAAAGTAAAAAAGTTGTATGTTTTCGCACCAAACAGTATGAAGAACCCTTACTGGTAACTTTAAATTCATGACGTTACTTTTTTAATTGAGAGACTAATGGCATGTCCTTCTGATATTCAACGCAGA